TATCACATGATTACACCAAAAATTTAACTTATCAACCAAAACGATAATCCAAGTGATGTATAATGGTGATTATCACACCCCTATCACATGATTATCACACACATATCACATGATTAGGGTTGCTTGTAATCGTAACCGTTTTGTAGATGATAATGATAGGTTTAAAAGATTTTGATTGTGTTTAATGATAAGTTTAAAAGATTCTGACCGTTTTCTAGATAATATATCATTTCCATTATTACCCTTTTAATTTTAAATTTTTTGAATCTTTTTAAATTTTAATTTTAATTTTAATTTTAAAAATCTTTTAATTTTATTTTTTATCACAATATGTGGTTACTGAGTTGTTCTCGCGTTTTCGTAAATCACAGGGGTTCTCGTTTGAACCCTTCCCTATATATATATATATATATATATATATATATATATATATATATTCATGATAAAAAGAGCATGATATCGATGAATTATGAAAATGCATGATTATTAAGGTTTATACATCATGAATAATACATGAAATAGTCGGTTCCCCGGTTCTCCAAATATTTATGGTTCTCATTTGTACTTTCTTCAAGGGAACTAAATCCCTTTCTGTAGGCGCTAATTTTGTAGTTCTGTAATTTTGAGCTTCTGTTTTAGTTTACTCATGGTCTACATTTGAAACTTGTATCAGTGTTCTCTAGCTGCTGGTCGGTTTACTTCAGGTCTCACATCTATCACTTTGATTGTTTCTGGTGGAGCCATTCTTCAGGGTGGTATATTGATTTGGCTGCTAAGTTACAGGTAATTCCCCTTTTAAAATTGTGCAGATGTAGTTTTTGGATCTCTATATTTCTTCCCTTTTCTGATCCTCCCATCATTCTCCATCTCTTTTGCAGCGCATCTACTGGTGTTCTTGGTTTAGTTTACCCACTTCTCATTGCAGCGATATGGGGAATTGGCGATGGGGTGCTCATGACACAGCTTAATGCTTTGCTGGCGATGCTTTTCAAGCATGACATGGTAATAACCTTCCTCTCGAAGCACTCATATGTTCATTTAGCTGTTTTCTATTGCCAAAAACACCCCTGATACTAGCAATATTGTTTGGATTTTGCACTAGTATTTACTGCTGTCTAATTATGCAGTTAATCTGTATGAAGACAAAGAACACACCTTACTTGTTCTTTTAGGACCAATAAACACACACACACACACAATAATAGTTGTACTATGGAAAACTCACTACATAATAATAGTCTCGACCATAACTGTAAATGCTGTATTTGATATCCTTCCAAAAAAACCCGTACTTTTTTCGCGAATCTGTGGCTTATAGTTGTCTTTCTAAATGTTTTACAAAACTTTTTTTGCAAGCTGGCGGTCTTCCCAGAAATGGTCTGTCTGTCTCTTGTGACAGAAGAAAAGTCTGCTTACGTTGTACTGTCTGACCCTACCTCCGGGTGGGATATATTGGATTTGTTTGGTTTGATACTATATTTTGCATCCTTAGGGGCCGTTTACCCAAATGCTTACTCAGTAAGTGCTTACCAATATGAGTCAACATTATAATTTATTTTGATGTGTAAGATTTTAGTACATCAAAACATATCAAATGCAACAATTTACTGGGTAAGGCTTACCTGGGTAAGAGTCGTCATCCTCACTTACCGGGTAAGACTCTCCATCTTTCTCATCGCTCTTACCCGGTAAGATTCTTGGCCCTTCTCATGTTCATTCGATGAGGAAATTTATGCATTAAGCACTTACCAAGTAAGTGTTTAGTAAACGACCCCTTAGTTCCTTGTAACCAGATAATTTCTGTGTTATTGTCGATCCTAACACCTATTTCATTGTGACCATGAACAGGAAGGAACTTTTGCACAACTCAAGCTCTGGCAGAGTGCTTCGATTGCAGTTGTATTCTTCCTGAGTCCAAACATCTCACTGCAAGCCATGTTATTCGTAATGCTTGCTGCACTCCTCTTGTCATTAGCTTGCTTTTTATTTCTCGTGCTGAAAGTAGAGAAGGTATTCTCCTCTAATCGCCCGTGATACATCGCTGTCAATTAAAAACCGGGTGCTCATTCCTTTTCTTCTTCTCATTTGTTGTTATTCATCTTTCTGTTCCGTTGTAGCAACTGTTTATTCAACTTTAAGCAGTTATATTTCAACCTTTTCATTGTCTTTCCCTGATCTATGACGTCACCGAGTGTTTTAAATACAAATGTTCAAGCAATTCAGACTTTCTTATGGAACTTAAAGATCAGGAGATTCATAATTGTATATTGCATCGCAATCCTAATGACCAGACAGCCAAAACCGAGAAAAAAATGGAACCGAAAACTGGACTGACCTCAACGAACAAGTTCAGTACCAGGATATAACACGAGTATATTTAACAAGATGGTAACGTCATTTGTCTATGGCCCTTTGATTTGAGACAGGTTGACAACTAAAATAAATTTAAAGTAAAACATAAAACCGAACCGTAAGAATTTATGAAGTACATGTGTGCATTACAAGAAAAAAGTTTTAAAAGGGAAATTAAGAGTGCTGAAGAGAGTTGACCAGGTTGTTGCTGTAATCCCAGAGCTTCTTGGCCAACTCAGGATCAGTTGCAAAGTTGCTTGCTGGATATTCATTGCAGTCCACAAAGTATTTCCCACTCACCCCTTTCAGCTTTGGGTGCAATGCCACATAGCATGTTGTTGCTGCACCCTATATAAATGATTTACATAACAACATATCTAATAAAGATTGCAATAATAAACCCAAAACAGAAAAGAAAATGATTAATATTTCAGGTGGAAGAGTACCTGTTGGACATTTTTCCATAGGAGATAAGTAAACAGCTTCAGAAATCCTGTCAAAAAGCATAGACAAAACTTGACAAGCCTTTCTTCTAGTAGACTTACATATCACATCATGTGTTACAATTAGAGAAGCACAAGGCTCGGACTTTCAAGCCCGGTTTCAGTAAGTCAAAAAAATCCATGGCTGGAGGTGTGAAAATGAACCCAATAGACCCTTTTCAGACCAGGCTTTTTCGGGCTTTTCTGGATTTCTTTAAGCCGGGTCTGATCGGACTTGGGCTTTTTTGGGCATCTCTAGTTACAATAAACCAATTAGATATAATGCAAACGATGGACAAACTCTCTATCTCTCGCACACAAACACACCTATTTGGTGTGTGAGAGAATCCCCATCTCACTTGGTTCGTGGTCTAAAGTTCATAGTAAAATAGATGCATTCGGTATAATCTACTTCTACACTATTTTAACCATTGAAGTTTATTCTATGCGGAGTAAACATGCCAAAATTGTCTTTATTCCCTTTTTACAACATCGATGATTTACTTGTTATGTAATGGAAATCAATCATTTTCTTCTCATCACTTAGAACTAGAATATGAGGATGGATACACTTACTCATAAGCTGGAAAGAATGCCTCATGAGATCCGTCATTATTAACCCTGGGTGTACCGAGTTCACTGTAATATTTGCCCCTTCTTCCTGCATTTCAATTTTAAACGAATATGAGCTTGGATTGATATCGTTGACACCCGGAAAACAAATTAATACCTTTAAGCGTCGAGAGAGCTCATTTGCATGCAATATGTTCGCTAACTTGGACTGGCCATATGCCTTTTTGTCTGAGTAACTGGTTTAGGAAAAATCTTAGGATTAAGTGTAGTTATGCAGCATATTACGGGTATTGTGACATTAATAAAAATTATCGACAGATTTACCCATCTTTATCATTGATTTTATCAAATCCGATCCCGTATTCATAAGTGTAGAGATGTGCTACAGATGACAAGTTTACAATTCTACCCTCAATTCCAGTATCTGTAGCAGTTTCCTTCATCTTGTCTAGTAGCAGATTTGTCAAGTAAAAGTGACCTGAGAATGTTAGAAACTAACTTTTAGTAATTGACTCAGTAATGGTGATCAAGATAAACAAATGCTACACTAGTTCCAGCTGAAACCTTTGACTCTCATATAAGAGTAGATTGGCTTCGAAAGGATTAGGCTGTGATATTAGAGCGTGACCTACCTAGATGATTTGTCGCGAATTGCATCTCTATCCCATCTTGTGAGAGTTGGAAAGGGCAGAACATTACACCGGCATTGTTTCTGCAAATTTGGAGGTTTCTTCGGTTAGACATCATGCATTTTTTGCAACGGTTGTATTATATCATTATACCAATTGGGATATTGCAACTTAGCTTAGGATAACTCAAAATTCTGGACTTCGAATTCCACACTCACTTAGATTATGTTCAGCAAACGAGCTTATAAGCTAGCAGTTGGCTAATAAGGTAACTAATAAACTAGATGACGATGTAAATTTATCTACAAAGATAGGATTTTTGGTCATTTATGTAAATTATAAATGGAATAATTGGACACAATAGAAAATGAAAAAAAAAAACATGGAGCTTGTTGAAACCCTAGTTGAATTAGTTTTTCAAAGGGCTTGTTTATGGCTTACCAAGAAGGATTTTCTCAATAAGCTCTCAAAATAAGTCAGCTTATGGCTGTCAAACATGATCTTTAAAAAAAATCACAGCATCATGGTTAACATGGGATGCTAGTGGTTCTCTCACACGGGTGAGTGAATGAGAGATCCATATGACCAAGATGATGACGCGATACAGCAAGAAAGATTCTGGCATGGACCCATGAAAGATTGCAACGACTACAATGAGTAGTTATAATGTTACACTAATTGGCTGGAACGATGATGGCAAATAGATGACTTACATCAAGAGGTTTAGGGGAAGATTAAGAGCTTTGAAGCTATCAGCAAAGGCCTTAATTGAGTTGAGAGATGAAAGATCAAGCTCAAGAACATCAATCTTAGCATTCTCATTCTGTGTAAGCATGAGTTGTTTGGCTTCATTTGCAGCCTTCATGTTTCTTGCTGCTATAATCACATGAGCACCCCTCAATGCTAATACCCTTGCTGTTTCTAACCCAATTCCACTTGCTCCTCCTGCATGCACAACCACATAACCCTTATTCAATTTCTTCATGTTTTTAAATATCTTTTGATCTCAAATCACATCATCCAAATTAAAATTGCAATGCTTGATTGGAAAGCTGATCTTTGCATTTTGGTTTGTTACTTGTAGTTGTATAAATATGTTGTGTATATCTATACAATCTTATAGATCTTGTAGGTACAACTTTTTATACATCTATAAAACAGTAAAGGGTTGTTTACCAAACACTTACCCGAGTAAGTGCTTATTAAGTCACATTATCTTACCGGATGAATATGACAAGGATCAAGAATCTTACCCAGTAAGAGCGAGACAAGGACCGAGAGTCTTATCCGGTAAGTGAGGACGATGATTCTTACCACGGTTAGCACTTACTAGGTAAATTGTTGTATCCAATGCCGTTTTGGTGGACTAAAATCTCACCAGGTAAGAAAGTGATAGTGTTGAATTTTACCGGTAAGCGCTTATCGAGTAAATGTTTGGTAAACGGTCCTAAGTCAAATTAATAATACAGGAATTCTGGCTAATAGCATGTCCCACATAGGTGGAGCAACAAAATTTGGAACGGGTTTAATGCAGGTCTAAGACTTTGGTTTCAAAACCCCAATCAAATGCACTTTAAATATTTTTCCTTCTCTTGTTATATAGAGTGTAGAAATGTGACCTAAATCTTTATTGGGTGCAGGTATAATTAAGGGGGTGAGTTGATAGAGCAAAATGTCTCAAAAAAAAAAAAAAACCAAAATGAATTAACATATATATATATATATATATATATATATATTCATATTTAAACGTGAATTTCTGATTTTTTAATGATGAATTTTACCAATTTCCATTCTCGATTTATAATAAAATTTTATCATCATGATGCATCATATGGATACAGAATTAGTATATATACAATTATATATAGATATCTATGGATGTATGTATATGCATATAGACCACAAAACATATGGAAACCCATAAAAAGTTAGAAATTGTAAAAACAATTTCATGTATTGCTATATAGGTGAAACAATATATGCAAAAACTAAACCTGTAAAATCACCAAAATCATTCAATGAGTCTGATTTTTAAGCTATGAGTCATAGTTTAACATGTTTGTCTTTGTGTGTGAGTATGAATGCAAATTTCATGTATAAATGTGTTTTTGTGCTTTTTCCCACATACAAAATTTTCTTTGACGTTTCATCTATGAAACAACGTTGTATCGACACTACATATTCGTATATGTTGTTTTATCTATGAAACATTACATACAAACTGATTTTTACGGTTTCTAATTACTAAGACGGTTTTATTTGACTTCCATACATATAACACTTTTACATAAGCGCCTAATTTCCATGATCGAATTCGTGACTTTATTTTATCATTTTTTATGTTAATTATTGTTATGGTTGTTAAATTTTTACTATTTATGTAAAATGTAATAAAGGGTATCAAGAAATGTTCTTTTAAAATTATAAGAATATATTATGTTTTTGATTCATATGGTTTGTTAAAAGTTGCAATTGTTATCTTTATGATCTTGAAATTACTGTTTTCATATGGTTTTGTAATTTATTGTTATTTTTTTTAAAGACTAACTTCTATTTTTAAGTATAAGGGACGAAATCAATGATGAATTGTTAATTGTAAATTACAAGGACGAAGACAATAAAAAAATTATAAATTATAAAAATGAAAATAACGATAAATTATAACCTATAAAAATAAAAATCATAAATCATAAATTAGAAAGATACAAATTCAACAAACATCATCAAGTAATGATGATGTGTGTGTCTAGTTATTGTTATCACATTTATTGACATGCTTTCTATTTTAGGCAACCAAAGTACCAAACATGTTACTATACTTTCATGTTTTCTAAAATTGAACAGTATTAATTTAATCAAACATACTTATAATCTCATATTTATTGATAATAACATTTGTTTAGATTTCATTTAATCAAATTACTCAAATAACTTCTCAACAAGTGTTATAGTGTTTGAGATATTAACGATAATTATCTCCATTATTATCTCATTAATTAATATCATTAGTTATCTTAAATTAATGGCTTAGCATGGATCTCACAGATCTCACATATTTTAGAGTTCTCAAATGACGAAAGATTGTGTGAGAGTGAGAGTTAAAATAAGAAGCATAAGAAGAGATCTAGACCCATTGATCACATTTAATCTCAAACACATTCATGAATCACACTTGATACGAGGATTGATCTGATATATCTCGATGCATCTCATTCTAATGTTCATCCGATGGTGGAGATTTCTTCTTATGCTTTTCACTTTAACTCTTCTTCTCAACATAACGCCTTATACAGGCGAATGATTGTGTGAATTGTGCTTTTCATGGGAATTGATCTGGTGCATCTCATTCTAATGTGCATTCAAGGGTCAAGATCCCTTCTTACGTTTCTCAGCTTAACTGTCATTCTCATCGGAACTCAACCTTACACACACACACACACACACACGCACACACACACGCACACACACACACACATACATATATATATATATATATATATATTCTCTTTCTCCTCTCTCCATAACATACGTGCACACACGCGCACAATTATGCGCACACCTTATGAACATAATGCAAATAACTTTTTGAAATTTTTACTAGGACATTCACAAGATTCACATAGTGCTCACAAGTGGTTAGTTTATATTTAGTTTTGTTGTTTTATGTATTGCTCACAAATATGTTAACATAGATACTGTAGATTCTAAGTGTATTCATAATTTATAAAAATGGTTCACAATTTGTTCACCTCGTATCCACATTCAATTATGTGTATATATATGTACATATATATTTTACGGATAAAGGAGAAAGGATTTTTTTAATTAATATTATTCTATTTTTAACAGAATTTTTATTATTTTTATATTAAATCTCGCTAATTTCATAAATTAAAAAGTGCTTAAAAAAAAGAAATCCCATATTAATAAATAGGCATATTAGTAATCAGAGGGTGAAAACTATTAAATAGGGGAAACAATATTTGTTGACAAAATGGATGTATCAAGCAGCATGCCAAAACATGTTATATCAAAATGTATAATCATTTAATGTTGCTAAAGAAAGGTTCCCTCAGGTGGTTAAAATAATCCAATATTCTTTATTTTTTTTAAATATATAATATATTTTATATATGACAAATGCAATCAATAAATACACACATCATCTTCATCATTGGTGAGGTTTGAACCTCTGACTTCCTAAAAGGCAAGAGACTCAGATACCGCTAAACCAAAGAACATTTAGTCTTTTATTTTTATTTTTATAAGAATTAATATATTACATATAATTATAAAAGTTGTACTATTAATTATTATCATTATATTTTGAATTTCAAAAATTTAATAGACTATCAGCATTTTAATACACTTCGATGACAGTCCATTTAACCTAAAACTTTAAATTTACTATAAAAATTTATTTAGGAATTACTAGAGTCAATTCTTATGGACCATCAAGTGTATTAAACAATAATAATATGTACATTTATTAGCATTAACCAAATATCATCAATATAATAAAAACATTGACTTCGTTCATGTTTTATTTATGTTGCACCTTAAACTAAAGAATGAACCTGTCTTTGATAATATATTTTGTAAAATGATCAGAAATGACATCTTGAAAAATTAGTCAATTATAATATTTTATAATATAATTAAAACATATATCTAATATTATAATATATTGACACAAACAAGATTGTGAAGAAAAATTAAAATTATATAATATGTTAATTAAAAGAAATTTAAAATGATTCTTATATAGATTATAAATTTTGGAGTTGTTAAAACAAATTTTATAAAAAAAAATCTACATTAATTTATGATTTTAAATAATCATTATCCTAATTAATTAATAATTTTTTGAAAACTATAATCACTAATTAAATGAAGTATTTACTAAAATCATTTACTTACCATTTTATTATCTATGAGACGAAACAAGTGTAACTTTAATTTTTATGTAAGTTACATAAACATTATTAAAATTGTTATAGTTGTTTTTTTGATAATTAAATATATTGATAATAATTAAATAATAAAATAAAAATAATTCTAACTAATTAATATTAAAGTATAGTGTACAATTCAAATTAATTAAAGATTTTCAACTAATATTAATTACTATTAATTCATTTATAATCTTAATAATTTATAATTAATCTTAATAATCTTTTTATTTTATAATAACTAATATTTATTTATAATTATACTAGTAAATAACAATTAATGTTAATGAGATAAATAATTGGAAAAAAGTGACAAGAAACTCCTCATGAGCTGCTTCAAGTAGCTTATCAATAAGCTAACTTACGTTTGCCAAACAATGCCTAAATAAATAAAAATTATTATTGATTTAATAGCTTAGTGGAAAGACTTGGGGGCTGTTGACTAAGCCGACTCAGTTAGCATGTTTACCAAATTAAAATCTGACCAAAATGCTAACTGAAAATTTACCATGGGTGTGTTTACTTGAGGCTTAATCAGCTTAATGGATAAATTGGCTTATTCGGACAGACAAAATAGTATGTTTACCTTGGGCTTATTCGCTCAGAAATGGGCTTATTCGCCCAGATAAAAAACATGAGTCGTCCAGATTAAGCCAAGAAAAAGACTCTCCTTACCCTTACATGTAAGACCCACGCCTCAAAACACCCTAATCGGATGATGCTCTTTCTCCATTGATCGACCGATCGACGCTCTCTTCTCCATCCAAATAACCCTAATCGGACGAGAATCGGACAACAATCTCTTCTCCATCGATCGACGCTCTCTTCTACATCGACAATTGACGCCCTCTTCTCCTCCAAAGAACCCTAATCGGCCTGATTGCTCTCTTCTTCTCCATGACAGTCGACGCTCTCTTCTTCTCCATCGACAAGTCGACTTCAAGTTCCATATCGGTTTCATGATTTTCAACTTCTGATTGTTTGTGTTTGTTGCTACCCTAGCTGCCTTTTATCGATTTCATGTTTGTTCGATTTCTGTTTGCTTGTCTTTGCTGCTAGAAAGAAACCCTAGCCAAGCCATGAAAGCCACCTTATTATGTTTCTCTAGCTCTTATGTTTCATATTCACTGGATTTTTTCAATGAATAAGGCAGCAAAAATATTCAAGTTGTTTTGTCAATTTGGTCAAAGATTGTTGTCTTTTATTTTGTAATTGATACATTGTTACAAATATTGATGGTTATGATTTCTTCCCTTCCATTATTCACTCTGTTAAAATCAAACATATTTCATTCTCTATGGCAGCATACATATTCTCTATCAGCTGTTCATTTTGTTTTATTCTCAGGGGTAAATTAGTCATTTTTGTTATTTAGACTGTTGATTCAGATAGAAAAGTAAACATCAACATAAATTTATCCAGACAGACAAATTTATCCATACAAAACTTAATAGAAAATTTGGTAAATAGCCTCCAAGTCAATTCCAAAATCATGCTTACCCTCGTCAAAATCTATTTTTCCATGCGTGCCTTTCTTTTTACGATTAGGTTTTCACCAAAATCACAGCCACTCGTCTTCGTTTCCATTGCTCCTCTTCCCTTCTCCCTTACGACTCAGTTACTTCTCCTCCATCGTCGCTCACCCCTCATCCTTTCTCACCGCTCGAAAAGGTGCTCGAATCAAAAACTCTCTTCTCTATATTTATGTATTTCGAGTGAAATTTTGTTGCAAGTATTCAAATTCTTTGCTACGAATTTATCATTATGATCTGAATTTCAAATTTGCTTTTGTGGATTTTCTTGGTTTTTTCCCCTTTCTCGTATTTTTAAATTCGTTTGGCATTTTTGTAGTGTTATTCTATGATCGTATGATACAAATGTAATAGTTGAGTACAACAATTTTTGAATTTCAGTTTAGATAATTTAGACTGACGGGGTCACCTTTCTTTTGATATGATTGAAGCTGATTTATTTTAAAGGGGCTATAATGGTAATTTTTTTTGTTGGTAAACACTTGTCAAAAAGTACTTGCTAAACACTTTGTCTCTGTATAAACAACCCTTACTCGGGACAACACTCTTCCTTGGACAATACTTACCCAGTAAGAGTTGGTGAACGACCCCTAAATAAAGCATGTTTACAACATAAATCTAGCACTTAAAGAAAAACATCTGCCACCATAACTATATTTTACCTAAAATTTAAAACGCAAAACAAATACACAAAATTATAAGGTAATTGTATAAAGAATAACAAAGTAGATAGAAATAAAAATCGTAATTCTCATTAATAATAAACCCTTTAAATAAAGATTGTTTTGTCATGAAAATAAAAACATTCATTATGAGAAATCTGAATACTTGGAAACTCTTCGTTCATTCAATTTCTTTTCTATAAAAGCTCATAATCTTTCAACAGTAGTTTGTTTTTTTATATAAAAAGAGATAGTAACATCTCAGACCAACTATATCAGATATAGTTTACATACATTGACTCATGATTTTAAAACACGTTTGATAAAGAAGATATATATATATATATATATATATATATTCTCTTATAAAACAACCCAACCGATATAGGATCTTACATATATAAAACTTGATTATTTAATTAGATCGTGTTTGATAGCAATAAGTTTAATGTATTGAAAGAAATTGTTTGATGATCTACAAATTAATTTATTATCTAGGTTTTTCTATGTTAAAATTAAACAATTTTTCAATAATTTATCATTTAATAGTTAATTATTAATTAATATCTAGTTTTTCTGGAGATCAAAATAAGATTTGAAAATCATAATAAATTTTATAAAATTAATTATATAAATAAAAATCATATTATTAAATCAAATATAAATCACTTCGTTATTGTATCTAWATTAAATTATAATAAAAAAATTAAAACTAAAAATTACAACAAAAAAGAAATTTTAAAATAGTTAATTTGATACTAATATCGATATATTTTTGTGAAATTCTGATGATATCTTTAAATTTATATTTTATTCAAAAATAAAAACATTATCGTTTTTTTTTAAATCACATAAGACCATACTATAACATCGATTGAGATAAAGAATAAAATAAAATATTAAAATTAAGATATATCTCACTGCATTGCACGAGTACACTTCTAGTATGGATTAAAAAGCGTATTTTTATATATACAAGCGGTCCGGACGTTCGGTTGCATAGACCGCGAAAAAACCGTTCACATCGTAAACCCGACTGGACTACCTATAAATGAAAGTGACGATAATTAAAGGGGAGTGCTAATGGCACCCCTTTTATGTCAGAATCAGGTCATTCAAGCATTGAGAATGTAAAAAACATGTATTGATGTTGATGTGTGTGAGTAAGAAATTCATGGATAGGGGTGCATAAAGCAATGCATAGGGGTGCATTTAGCCCACCCCTAATTAAATTCGTAATGACGTCATTTTGTTTTAAATATGTAAAAACTGTTTTTCTTTTAATTTTAATTTGTTTTAGGCAAAAATAATCACCTACTGGATCACGAAGATGTCATGTTATCTGTTTTCAAGATATTTCCAACAAGTTCCGTTAGTTCATTCATAACCACTCGGTGATCCCACTTGCCCCACTGCGTGCTCTATCTTCTTGCCAGAATCCCAGTTTATCTTCTCTCTCACACACTTCAATTCTTCGTGTGTGTGTGAGAGAGAGAGAGATTTACACATACAACGATGCATGCTACCTCCATTTTTGTTGATTTCTTGACGAAATCGGAGTATAAAATATATATAATCTAATCATGTCTTCGATCGATCACCAACAAAACATACACGTACATGAGCATCAGATGAATGATCAAATAGTTATGTCATGTGTGTATATGTATTTATATGTATGTATGTATGTATGTGTGTGTATACTTATACTGACCTGTAATGATAAGAGTGAGATCGGAAGCATCGATCGAAGCAGAAACGTGTTCTGCAGTGGAGGACGATCCGAATCCACTGGATCCTGGCCTTCCTGATATCAACGATAATATTCCCATTTTTAAACTTGTAAAAATCTGCAGAGATCAATCACCTTAGTTGCACATATCTATATATACACACAGTAGAGAGAGAAAGAGAGAGGGAGGGACAGAGATGAAGATAATGGATTTGAGAGAGCGGGTGGCAAATGCGTGAAAGTGAAGTGAATTTATTACAAATGAACACACAACCAAGTCCAATACGATTTTCGAGATTCTTTAATCATATTTATTAATAAATTGAAATTCATTTATTGCTTTTCAAATCCATCTTTTCTTTTTTTTCTTTTTTTTGAGAGTTTGGTATGTAGATTGAGTGATATGGGACGGAACGGGACGAGATAAAAAAAGTAATCCGATGTTTGATGTATCATGAGATAAAAATGAGATGGAACACCATGAGATAAAACTTTAACATATTTGTTCCACTAAGGGCATTTCCAGTGCATGACACTCTACCAGAATGTCATGGACTGCCACATCAGCATTCCACTCACCATACAACTCTATCATTTTATACCCACACTCCATAACACTCCAATAAATTTAATGGATTTCCACATCATATATATATATATATATATTATCTATAAATATAATTTTACCAACAAATTTAAAAATCTACTAAAAACAAGGAATAATACATTAAAATGAAAATGAAACGAAATTAAAATACATTTAATAAAAAGTACGAGAGAAATGATGGTATATCTAACCATTCTATYTATTTTCAACAGAGAAATGATGTTGTAGGTCAAACAGGTCTTTCCCCTCTACAAAAATGCACTGCTGCCATACGTCAGTTGGCATATGGCACAGCAGCTGATCAATTTGATGAATACTTAAGAATTGGAGAAACAACTTCAATCGAATGTTTACAAAAATTTTGTCGATGTTTGATTGAGATTTATTCTAGCCATTATTTGAGAAAGCCTAATGCTAACGACATTCAAAATTTATTACAAAAACATTCAGAAAAACATGGCTTTCCTGGCATGTTAGGAAGTATTGATTGTATGCATTGGCCCTGGAAAAATTGCCCTGTTGCATGGCAAGGTCAATTTACCCGAGGTGATCAAGGGTGTCCGACAATCATGTTGGAAGCAGTTGCATAGCAAAACCTCTGGATATGGCATGCATATTTTGGGGTTGCGGGTTCCAACAATGATATCAATGTACTAAATCAGTCCCCATTATTTAATGAAGTTTTGAGAGGGCATTCTCCTGAATGCATATTCACGGTGAATGGTACTCCATACAATAAAKGATATTATCTCGCAGATGGTATATATCCTGAATGGGCTACAATCGTGAAAAGTTTTCCACATCCAGCTGATCCAAAAAGAAAACTATTCAAAACAATGCAAGAAGCTGCAAGGAAGGATGTGGAGAGAGCCTTTGGTGTCCTCCAATCTCGTTGGGCAATTGTACGAGGTCCARCAAGATCTTGGCAACTCACAAATATAAAGGATATAATGTATGCATGCATCATATTACATAATATGATTGTAGAGGATGAAGGAAGTGCAATCTCTAATTGGTATGATGATGTTGATCCTCCAATACGTGTGCAGCGAGGACCTACCGCAGAAATTCAATATCAGATTCAGATGAACTCTGAACTACGTGATTCATCGGTGCATCACTCACTTCGACATGATTAAACGGAGCATATTTGGGAACATTATTCACAAGCATGAAATTGAAAATAAATGTAGTTTATGTAATGTATTTTAAAATTAATGTAATATCTTATTAATGTAATGTATTTTGAAATTAATGGAATGTTTTATTAATTATGTTGTTTTTATAAATTAAGAAAAATAAAAATAAAAATTAATTTATTGATTAATAAATATCATATTATAGTGTGTATATATATATATATAATATCATCCCCATTTTCCTTACAAATTTAATTAAAAAAAAAAAAGGTCCCATTTTCCTCCATGATGCGTATCATCCCCATTACACTCTCCATGACACCCTTCACAATGCATGAGGGGTGTCATGCTTCCCATTACACTCTCCATGGCACCCCATTGGAGATGCCCTAACATGGGACTAAATAATAAAATTACAAAACTATCCTTTTTTACAATCTGATTACAAACCTAATTCTAATTTGTAGTACGCTTCTATCTTCATCGCCTCCATACTTCCAGATTATCGATATCACCGACTTCATCGCCTCCATTCTTCATCGCCTTCTTCCTTCCAGATTATCACCGACTTCTTCCAAGAATTGATTTATCCAAGTACGATTTTGATGGTTTTGGTTTTGGTTTCTGTTTTCGATGCTTCCATGGTTTATGTTTTCGATTCTTAACCTGATTTTAAGATGAATTTTATTTATACAAATTTTCAGTTCTTCCGATATCTCCCATCATTGGACTCTTTTTCTCTGAGATCAAACGGCCACAAATCCTTTTTCTCTTTAATCTTACGACTAGGGATCAATCTCTCTTTCCTAATCATCTGTTTTCGTTCTACTTTTGTATGTTTCTCAGTGCTTTTCGTTATCTTTCTGTACCTTTTTTTCATGCACTTGGTCTTGCTATTTCTATATTGATTTCACTTTATTTCTTTGATATTTGATATGGGATTTTGATGTTGGATGGTGAATTTAAGTGATACTATGTAAGCATGTCTTTGATAAGTGAAATTGTGTTATTGTTGTAGAAATGAGATGCTAATTTATGTTTATTTTCATTGATTGTTAATGGTTAATCATTGTTTTCGAGAGAAATTTGTTAAGGAGGCAAGAGGGAGAACCTATGAATTGCATAAATTCATGTCAATTTAGTAGATTGAAATGATTTCTCTCTCTCTCTCTCTCTATTGCATTGATGTTAATTTTGATTACTTGGTTATGACGATATGTTTTAGTGGTTTATTTCTATTTTGGTTGATTTGGGTCATTTATAATCGTTATATGATGTAAAATAACATTAAACAACATTTAGAGGTAACCTGATCATTTTAACAGTTTTGTCATGTTCTGTCCAGCTTATCAAACGCATGACAGACAATTAGTCTAGTCTTATTCTAGTCGTACCGAACGTAAGACATACAATTAGTCCAGTCCACCACTGTCATGTCTTGTCCTATCCAATCGGAGTACCAAACGCTACCTTAGGGTGCGTTTGGTACGTGGAACAGGGTGGGACAAGACAGAACATGACACACTTGTCCCATGTTTAGTGTGTTTCTAAGTGGAACTAAGTAGAACATGTATGGGACAAGCCTGTCCACCCTCAACCCCTGGAACTAAGTGGAACAAGACATATTTGACAAATATACCCTAAATCGATTTATTCACAGGCGACGTTCATCTCCATCGATCTCGATCTCCATCTCCATCGATTTCTTCACAGTCCACCTCCTCTCCATCGATCTCCATCTCCATCGATTTCTTCATAGTCCACCTCCATCTCCATCTCCATCGATCTCCATCTCCATCAATATTCATCTCCATCGATTTCTTCACAGCAGACCTCCATCTCCATCGATTTCTTCACAGCATCCAAGAACAAAGGTACGGTGAATTTGATGAATCACGAACTAGGGTTTGTTCTATTTGATGAAATTCGAACTGATTTTTTTATTGATTTTGTGTTTTTAGTTGAATCATGAACCGGGTATTGTGATTTTTGATCAATGAGGAACTGGGTATTCTTCACAGCCGGCCTCCATCTTCGTCGTCTTCTTCATAGCTGGTAATCGATTTTGCCTACTGTTTCGAATGATAAATCGATTTTGC